CTTTGGAGACGAGGAGCATGGCTGCAGGCTTTTTCGTGTCGTATCAAGAATCGATGAATAATACCTGCGGATTACGCATGCGTGCCACGTGACCAAACGAGTGGGGGATGAGAGGGCAGATGTAATTAAAAGATGAGAAATGTCTCTGTAAATGTGTTAGCGTCTATATTTCATTTGACACCTTTAAGTGGTACACCTGTGTGTACCTTGGTTAAATTTTTGAAAGGGACTCAGATTAATTACTGCTTGCAGTCAGCAAGGACACTGCCATCGTGATAGGGTCATTGTCCCCTCACCCTCCACCAAGGCCGAGAAACTAGAAAAAACAACCCTATGCCCACCATTTCTCCAAAGAAAAGGCATTCTTCTTTGGCTCAAGGTTCCACTGTTTTTTTTAACTGATGACAATTTAGTCATTCAAGTTTTGTGCTTTAAAAAAAATCTATTATAACGATTATTTGGGCTTCAGCAAGACTGCTCATCTGTTGCCATAAACATGTGATACAGTTCGAGATGCACTGGACCTAAAGTACATATTTATTCTTTAATGGAGTTTAGAAAACATTAAGGATGAAGACAGTGAAATATTTGAAGGAAGGCCTTAGTCTAAATCTGATCCCAGAATGATTTCGCCATGTTACAAGACAGCTCCCGACTTCCCACTGTGCTGCCTTCCAGTGCCGCCTTTTATGATTGTCACACTGTCCTCTGCTTTTCCTTTTGTATTCCTTGCACCCCTCACTTGGTCTTTGTGTCATTCTGTTCTTTCGAATCATGTCGTGTCAAGCACGCAGCACGCGGGAGTCTCTTCTATGAACTCTCTCAGTGGACCAGCTTGTAATAGTGCGATTGAGATAGTGTAGCATCACTCCATTAAAAAGCCTCTACTGGCCAACACCAGAGGGACTCCCTCCTTATGGCCCGACACACAAAGCAAGACACTTACTGCAAATGGGCCTCATTGCTCTCTGAAGACGTTGTTAACACGTCTGCGGGTTGGCTTCCCCCTGCCAGGAGGGAACCAGATCCATGTTGGTGTTGGCTAAATTAATTACAAGCTGTGACCGACTGCTCAAACCGGCGTTTGTTCTACATTCAGGGTCATCTCCACGACTCCCGAGGGGGCGCTGATGCCAACCTGATGCAAGAAAACGCACACAAGCCAGTCTGAATAATGTATACATACGCACACGTGTGTCTTGGTTCAGCTGTCTCGACACAACCCTCCCCAAAAATGATCAATGTCCTCCTATTATTATTTATCCCCCCTGCATGCCCCCTTACCCCGGATCTCTTTCATGTTGCCCTCTGGGAGCCAAACAAAACAGGGATTTCTACTGCAAATCAGGAGCTAAAACACCATGTGATCAGCCATGAATTATTTGCACACTATTGATTTGTAGCAGTTGTTGCTTTTTCCCCCCCAGCGGAGACTTTCACCACAACGCCGTGGACCGATCAACAGCTATTGAAGTATCCTCTGAGATCCATGCAAAATTGAAGAAAAAAAAAATCTCATCATTTTTACCAGCTATACAGATTCAAGAGCATTTGTATCTTAAATGTTCCTCCGGGGTTTTTAAATTTGTTTTAGGAAGAGCATGATGGACCGAATCCAATACTTGGGTGCCCTCTATGGCCCACGAACCAGATTCTGAACTTCTGCTTTGCATAACTTAAAAGTAAAAGATAATGGGTAATTAATGGGGTGACCTAAGTCGTTAGGAGAGAGACATGCAGCAAGAGTGTGTTTGACTTTGAACGCAATGTGGATCGCTGACTTTTCTTTGCATATCCAGGCGCAATTTAAGGAGGCAATGTCAATTTCATACTCCCCCCCCCCCCCCCAGCTCCCCAACATGGCAGTGCCCCGTGGCTACAGAGTATAAACGACAATCTGACACGGGCGCATTCTCAAAACATCCGAGCTGCTTACATTTTTTTTTTTTGTCTTTCTTGGTGCTGGAAGCTTTGTTCCAATGGTAGAGGAGGCTTTTCAACGCACACGGCACCTTCAATGGTTAAAAAAAAAAACTGAAAGGAATAAGTGTAGCACTACATGCCTGCAAACCAGCCTGAGGACTCTTAACTGCCTGCTGTTAATGATAGCGAAAGATCAAATATGTCAACAACCAGGGAAATATATTGCAGACTGGAGCAATAGTTCACAATATACGCTGTACGTAGGTGTGAAGTGTAAATGAGGAAGATGAGTACCATTTGGATGCAAACATCCTCGTGTGTGAAGCTGAAACATAACAACAACCACAGAAATAGATTGTCAGCTACAGCTCTTGGTAAAGATCTTTGCACCCTTGCACAAGTGATTATGGTGACATGCTCAAAATGTTGTTAGCGATCCATTTCACATATGAAAACCATTTTTGGTCCACTTCTCGACAACCCAACGCATTTGGAATCATTTTAAATGTTGACACATGGTCGTACACCATCCATGCTAATAATCTGCTCGATATGCTGTGAGATCAGCGGGAGCGATGTGAATCCACGCCCACACTATTTTTTTTAAGAGTGCTCCCTCGCTATATCACAGTTCATCATTTGCGCCCTGCTATATCACGGAATCTTAAGTGATCATATCTTTTTTTTCTTTTAATCGGTCTTTTGAGTATTCAGGCCAGTCAAAATATGTTTTTTCAATGCAGTGCCACTTTGTGCTGGGTAGTACTGATGTTTGAAGAGAAGAACAGCAAGAAAAAAGGGCAAAGAATACTGTATCCCCCAAGTCAACTCTAGTAAAAGCTATTGTTCCAGCAGAGCAGGACTGTTTGTCAAAGTAGCAATCGTTGAAGGTTTATAATTACCATAACATTTTCGTACAGTCCGTTGAGAGAGTTTGTTTAAACGTTCTTCTGGACCATGTAAGTGCACATGTGCAATGTAGTCCACCCCTGCATTAATGTCTGTCTTTCTGTCTCCTCCCTCCTCCTGACACCCCCCCCCCCACACACACACACCCATTGAGGACAGTCTCATTGAAGAATGCTGATGCTTGGAGTATGTTAAGAAACATTTGCAAACAGGTAGGAGGAGGAATTCCTCAGTTCCTCTAATGAGAGTAAATGGAAGGATGAGGAGAGACATTCACATGTCACCTCACCACTGGGACTAATTGGCGAAAGAATTATGTGTCGTTTTTATTTGCCACGTGCTTTTATATTACAAATAGCTACATGAATGACAACAGTGAATATTTCAGTGTCCATCTTGCTATTTGTTGGATATATTCTCTATTTTAACCGATTCTCGATATTGTAATTCACTATGAATTTCTCTATACCTGTACAGGTATATTCAGGGTAAATGAATACAAAAATCAACTCATGACATTGCGGCTGTCTGTGATGAATGAAGTACGATTTTATATTTAAATATAAATCCATTTATATAGTCCCAATTAATAATAAGAATAATAATCATAATTTTGGAGACCATACAGCAGTAGATGGATGTTTTGCCTGTGGAGGAGCAGAGCTTATTATTGAGGCTCCTTTAAGAAGTGTTTTTTTTTCTCTAAAATGCAGCATGCTTGCATGGATGCAAGCTTCTGATTGGAGCACACAGTATACAGCACTCGAAAACAAGACTTCAATATTACACTGAAACATGGAAAAAAAACTTGATTTTAAGGACAGTTTAGTCAAACGTGCACTGGGCAGCAGGCTTTAGTCAACTGCAAGAGTATTACATTATATTTACATGCATGCTTTTCATAGAAAGATAAATAAATAGATAACATAATTACTACCTTAATAAACGTTTATTTTAATGATGGGGAAACGCCTTTTGGTTGGGTGTAACTTCCGACTTGCAGACGACAAGCTGGGGCGCATTATTAGGAGCGTTTATTAACAGCAGAAAAAAAGCGTCGCTTTGTGTACACGTGCTCGTGTGTGTGCACTGTCTGATAAATGGAGAGACATCCAAGCGCGTCGTTAGAGCGTAGCCGAGGAGCTCTTAAAGGAGAGAGACGCGGCTAGATGTCGCCTGCCTGCCTGCCTGCGCGGTGCTGGCGGGCCGCCTTCCCCGGGGAGCGCGCGCCTTTCCCGGCCTTTTTTGTACTCGTGCGCCGGCCTACCCTGATGGAAGCCCAGTTAAAAAATCTTTATGGACTCACTTGTTACAAGGGTACATCGAAGCAACATTTATACCCCTCTCCACCCTCCTCGCCGCTACCCACCACACCCGAATACATACAATACACTGCTGATTTATGTATTGATCTCTAGCCCACACTTGGCAACCAGAAAAGGATTACAGCACACTAATATTAAATACAATATAGATTTTCCCCACCTTAAATGTTTTGACGACGTATATAGTATAATTTAACAAGAATATGAAATACAAATACAAGTAAATATGTAGTACACACACACACACACACACACACACATACATATATATATATACATATAAAAACAAATATTTTCAAGTAAATTATTTGTTATGGTCTTATGAAATATTTGACATTTTTAGTGGTCCATATGAAGATAAACGTTGCTCTTCAGTCGTTACAAAGGCAGCATAAAAGAACAACTGCTAATAACTGTCCTCAGAATAATAGCGCGGTTGCCCAATAATATACATGAAATAAAAATGCAAGTCCAAGGACTGCTTGTGCATTGTACCCAAACCTGGACGATACGCAGACACACAAAAAAGAATAATGTTAAAAATTTGGTGCACCATTTGCCTTTCAACACAGACTTAAAAAAAAAAAAAAAAAAAACAACTTAAGGGGTAATCATTCGGTTACTTATTTATTTTGGGGGGTAATTAATTATGAATAGAGCCATGGTGGGCATTTTTTTTACGATCCCCCACCCTCCCTTTACTTTAATCCATTTAAGCGCCTCCATCAGTTCATCATTGATTAGTGGAGTTAAAAAAGGAAATAAAGAAATAAAAAGCAAGAGCGAGAGAGAGAGACAGAGAGAGAGAGAGAAGGGAGGGGCGGCGGTGGCTTGCTGAAAGTCGAATTGTGCGTGGAGTGCAGCTAAGGCCTTTAATTGCGCCAGACGCAGAGAAGAGTGTGTGTGCGTGTGTGAAAGGGGGTGGGGGTCTTGAGCTGGTATAAATACTTGGCTCTCCAAAACACACTCACAACAGCAGGAGTGATCTCACCTCCACTCCTTTCACTCCCACTCTCTCATTGCACTCACCGCGAAGCAGTACGGAGCTCTCACACGGCGTGGATTTTTATTTTTTATTTTTTTGCTCTTTTATTTTTCTTTTTTTTTTCCAACCCCCGGGAGGAGCAGAAGGATCGGGGCCGGGGGGGGGGCGGCTTTTTTTTTTTTTAAAGAAGGAAGGGAGAGTCATGGAAGAGCTGACGGCGTTCGTGTCCAAATCGTTCGAAGCGAAAAGCAAAGAGAGCAGCAAGGAGGCCATCACGTACCGGGAGGTTCTGGAGACGTCCGGGTTGGCCCGGCCGCGGGAGCTGGGCAGCCCCGCCGAGCACGACTTCAGCGAGGGCGCCCACTGCCCGCTGCACGCCTACAAGGAGCATGTGGAGCTGGACAAGGACAAGCTCAAGGACTTCCACGTCACGCGGCCCGCCGAAGGTAACGGTCTCGCTCGAGCACCCTTCCAAAAATAAGACTACAATTGATGCTCTTTTTTCATGAGAAATAGAGCGCGCCCCGCTGCAAAACATCGGAAGAAACAAATGAAGTTCAATTTTTGTCAACGGACGCGATCAATGGGTGACTAAATAATGATTTTAACGCTAAATCTGTGATTTTATTTCTATTCATGGGACCTACGATGGATAAGATTTCCCCACCACAAAATTTAGCAAAAACTTTAACTGTTAGAATTTATTTAGGAAATCTATTGAAACGGTCAAACACTGCATTCGTTTCGGTTACTGATTTTTTTTAACAAACTGTAAAATAATAGTATGTCCAAACATAGCTGCAAATATGACATTTTTATGACTGTTAAATTGATGCGTGACTCTACTACGTAGTGCAGTGTATGGTAGTATTTCTTGGTTTATTGAGTTTATTTTATTTTAAGACGGTATATTCATATACATACAATATGGAATCAATATTAACCTCAATGGTGATTATATTTCTTATTAGTACTGTACAACGTATTAAGTGGTCCTTGTTTCGATTAAAAGTTAACGTACGGTAAGTTGCAGTGCATGTGGAGTCAATCAACATAAAGGAACAATACTTAAGTACTGTACTTATGGTCTCCCTTTGACTCGCAGAAAGTTGCATTAAATGCACAGCACATATTAAAAAAATCCAGAATGTACATTAACAAATTATCATTTCAAAAGCCGGTGTCAAAACACAATTAACATCATTCCTGCCATACGACTTTTAAATTGTCATTGATAAATGCTCAAATCAAATGTTAAAAAAATATTATAGCTGCTGTCGAAACGAAACCACCATTAATCGAAATTATATACCGAGTGCGTTTAGCAATGAATTATCGTTATTTTTGTTACCATTTCATTGGCAAAAAAAAAGTGGCGCACGCCACACGGCGTGGAAGGTGCATTTGTCGACTTCGCATTGATTGTGCGCGGTCGGGACGTGCGCGCAGGCATCTACGACTGCAGCAAGGACAAGAAGGAAGAGGTGAAGTCGGAGGACGAGGACGCGCAGGGCAAGCTGAAGCAGCGCAGGAGTCGCACCAACTTCACGCTGGAGCAACTCAACGAGCTGGAGCGCCTCTTTGACGAGACGCACTACCCGGACGCCTTCATGCGCGAGGAGCTCAGCCAGCGCCTCGGGCTCTCCGAGGCCCGCGTGCAGGTACCACCTGGATGGCAAACTTGCATTGGGGGTGGGGGGACCGGGAGGGCACTGGATCGATAGAGCTCACCGGCAAACGGACAAGAAACCATTTCAGTCGTTACCATATGCGAAATATGACGGCGCAAATAGTTTGGGGATTTTGGAGTTTTAATTTCCGGCAGGTTGCTCACTCCGCGAAAGAGCTCGAAAGGACACAAAATATTATTACATGTTTCAGATGATAATGTTTCGCCGGGACTATGCAAAATAGGTGCGATCACCTGGAAAAATATTAACAGCCTGCAGATTTCGGTCAATTGTGGAGGCAAATTTGTCATTTTTTTAAAGCACAAAAATCGCTATTTTTAAGTGCAACCGCACAATTTGAAAGTCATATTTTTATGTTACATGTATCCCAAAACATACTTATTTTTCTTTTTATTCTTACATTTATTATCCTGGTTAAAATCCCTCATGGGCAGATTCACTTTACAATGTACTGTAAATATATTTTGTGCACATTGCATACACGCAGCAAAAACACGCACATACACCGTTCCTTCTAATATTTAATTTCACATAGAAAAAAAATATGTCGTAAACACGCCTGACCTACCTACCACTGTGCAGTGCATTGTAGTCTGCGTATTAGCAATAAGTCCCTTTTTTAAGTCATTCAGCATTTATAATGCTTTTATAGCGCTGCATAATGTGC